GAATGCGGAAGTGATGTAATACACATCACTTCTGCATTCACAGCCCAGAGGGAGATCAGCAAGGAGCTGATCTCCCGTCCTCTTCCTCCTGACGCCCTCCGAGCCGGTCCCGGGCCGCAGATGGGGCAGCGGATCCCGGGATTGAAGGTGAGGGGCGGGGGGGCAAAAAAACGGCGGCGGCCGCCGCGCGCGGGGGGGTGAAAAAACGAGCACATATAGACGATCGGCGGGCTATGGAGCCACCGATCGTCTATATGTGAAACACCCGGTAACGGGTGTTTGCATTGGTTGGGTCTTTTCTGCCCGTGCGTGCCCGCTAGAGCAGAAAAAAAATGCCGTCTGGAGACGGCAACCTGCCAATGCTGCAGTGCCGTCCGTCCGTTTTTTTACAACGGGCGGACGGCAAGTTGGTGGTGTCAGTGGAAGAAATATCGTTTTCTGCATTGTTGGTGGTGTCGGCTGAAAAACAAAAAATTGTGAACGTATTTGGTGGTTTCTGCTATATGATGACTACACAGTGAGTTCTCTGTGTTTTTGAGAATAACCCCCCTACAACCACCCTCCATTGTCTCACGCTTATTTTAAATATTTTCTGATCTGTTACTCTCCGAATATTTAGCAGTGAAATTTATGGAGGCATCTCTTAAATCTTTGATTATGTACTGTACATTATGGTGGCCCTTTAAACATGCTCTGCTGTAAATCTGCAAAATTGACAGTATTGCTTCGTAGTGCCTGTGTTCAACTTCTTACCTCCTCCTTTGTCCTCTCTTGTGCTGTCTTCTCCTGCTTAGAGCGTCCGATATGGCAAACCACACCTAACCTCTCCACACAAAGAGAATTCAGAAGAGCAGGCTTCAGCTTGGTTGGCACCATGGCAGGATGTGGACAGAGTAACAGTGTCCTGATCAGGAATTATAAATTCACATATTCTATGACAATACAATGACAAAGTACATACACATTAAAGACCAACTCCAGCTGAAACATTGTATGTTGTTTCAAGTAGAACAGGGAAGTGTTAGAGCTTTTGTCAAGTTTTTATTGACATTTGTGTCCCTATAGTTGTGGTTAGGAAAAGTAGTGATGGGAAATCTATCCAGTAGACAAAACAAAAAACTTTAGAGGAGCAAGGAAGTGTTAGAAATTCTGATATGGGTTTTATTGCTGCAATAAATACATCCTCTATTTTTTGTAGGGCATCACAAGAACAGGGAATATATCTCTCATGGGGTCACAGACAGACATAAACATGACAAAATTGCAAATTTTTACTATTGCATTCAAAACAAAAAAAGTTTGGCAAATATTTTATTCAATTATTTTTGTACACTAATTTGGTTATTTAATATCTTTTAAACAGTAAAGCTGAAATACCAAAAATGGAGAATTTAAAAAACATGAAGGCTGAAGATAAAGAACTGAAAGAAATGAGGAAGAGATTTAAGGTATTAAAATTTTTTAAAAAATGGTAAAATACACTAACCATACAGTATTCTATTATGATGTAATCTTTAAAGTTGTCACATATCGTCCTTTTACTTTTCTTGTTAAAGAAATGATGTACCTGCCTCAGCAGATTTTATATGCCATAAAAATAGTGCTATCTAGTTTGTTCACTTTTTCCCCTGTCGTCATTTCAGTTAGAGATGCAGAATAGTGATTTCATGGTTTTAACTGGGTTGTAGCAAAGGTCCCTATAAATGCTGGTTCATTGTGCAGGCACTGGCCATCTCCTGGCATGTATTTCAACCAGGTGCTCTACAAGTACTACAGTTTTTATAAAGAAGAGGGGAAAGAAAAAGAGCAGGAGCAATACAGTGCCATTTAATAAGTAGGGCTGGGGGGGGTTGTATAGACTACAGAAGGTTTCGGAAGACTGCTCATCCTAAAAGCAGTTGGAAGGTGGTCATGAGTGGGAACTCAATAGAAACATTTTCAGGCTATAGTATAAAGATAATGAGTTATAAAAATGCTTTACCTGTTACACTGTTGAACTCTCCTTCTGAAAATGCTTTAACTGCTGGCTTCAGCCACTGTCCTCGGACAAATGTGCAGATAAGGACTTTTCATACTTGTTCTGGGCATTCTGAATAAAATTATGACAAATAGTATCTTCAGAAGGGTCATTCATTGATATTACATATTCTGCATCAGAATATGATTTTTTTTTGCTGTGAAAGTATAGGGAGGGCTGTGAGTAAGCACATTTTGTTTTATGCCTAAATGTGACCTCCATGACCTCTGTATCTGCTGTCAGTGATGGCTTTTTTAAAGCATAAATGTCTATAGCCTGGTCACAATTGATATCTTACCTATGCTTATTGTGCACAACAAAATAATATGCCCTATATATTTTCACATTTAAAGTTTACCTTTGAGCAGACTATGAACCTTTGAATTTATAAAACAAATTACACAGCGAATGGGCTTTAAAACAAGCCTTTACTTACATCTGTTGCTAAAAGCAGTATGGAGCAATTCATTCCCCAAATTTGCAGCAGATGCACTGATGTTGTCTAAGCCAGTTCCCTCTCCCACCAGTAACTTGGCAGTCTCAAGTTTGCTCTCAGCACCTGAGCTCACTTTACTCTCCCTCCAAGAGCATCTGCCCTGTCTTTACAATAGAGATTAGAAAACTGTGAGACACCATTCACACTGAGCTACATTAAAAAAACGATTTTTCATTGAGCTGATCGACATTGAGCTACAGTAAACATTTTGTCGCACTATGCAGCACTTCTTTTGGCAGTCTATCAAAGCCTATTGGGGACAAATTGCACAAAATCCGCTGGAAAAATAGGTCATGTTTGAGCAACAAGCTTGAGCTACAAGCTACAGGCGACATTGAGCTGTGAGATGTGAACAGCTCCCTTGAAATGCATTGGACGAGCTACATTGAGCATGTTTGAGCGATTTTTGAGCTGACATTGAGCTACAAATCGCTCAGTGTGAATTCCCAATTCACACTGAGCGATTTGTACTGAGATTTCCGCTCAAAAATCACTCAATGTAGCTTAATGTAGCTCGGTCAATGCATTTCAATGGAGATATTTACATCTCACAGCTCAGACCCCATTCACACTGAGCTACATAAAATCAGCGCTGATTTGAGCTGAGCTACATTGTGTGATTTTTGAGCAATATTTGAGCGATTTTTTAGCAGAAATCACGCTACAAATCGTTCAGTGTAAATGGGGTCTAAAAACCATACTTACATAATTACAACCTGTACAATTACCACAGAGACAGCATAAGTAGTGTACTGAGACAACCAGAATCCTGTGCATAGAAACAATCGGTACTGTACCGAAACATGTCAGTAGAGAGAAATTTAGTACAGTACTGACAAAAGCAGTCAAAGCAACACTCTGCTGCTAGAATTACCTCTTACACAAAAATGTTTTACGGGGCTCTGAATATTGTGCTGGAGCAAATGTACAGAGAGCAGCAGGCAGCTGTTTATAAACATACAAAACAGCAGACAGTGTCCAGTGGTCTACATTATGTAATATGCAACATAGAGACAATGGTCATAGTTCATATTCTTAAATCAAGATCTAAGGCAGAAAGGTTAACGGGTCTTGTCCACCCACCTATACCCCTGTTATTTGTTGTTTACAACATTCAAACTTAATAAAAATTTATTATTTAAAAAAAAAAAGATCTAAGGCAGAAAGGCAATGGTCAGTAGGGGAAAAATTGTCCTATTGTCAGTGTGTGAAAAAATGCCCTGGCAACAGTAGTTAGTGGGAGAAATATTACGCTGGCTTCAATTGTTTAGTTGGAGATAGCATCAGTGGCTAGGTGAAAAAAGTGTCAGTGGTCAGTTTGAAGAAGAACACCCCAGCTTTAGTGGTCAGTCACAGAATTAATTTTCCAGCATTGGCGATCATTGGGGAAAAAATGTCATAGATGTTTAGTGGGAGCAAAAATTGCCCTAGCATCACTGAAAAGGAAAGAATGCTTTTTACCAGTGTGATGCAAAATATGAGGGGCTGTGGAAGGGGCTGGGGAGCTCTTTGGTTAAAGTTGTATATGGGTCACTGAAAAGAGCTCTGGGGCACTTCAGGGTGCTGTGGAGGAGGCGGTGTACAAATTCCCATGCTTTCCTGTAAATCAGTTTGAGCAGTGCCCGTGGCTAGAATGCAAGGCATTCCTATGCCATTCTGGATCCTTTAGACCCTTGGTTCTCAACTGGTGAGTCGTGACCCAAAAGTGGGTTGCGACACGGTGTTCAGTGGGTCCCCGTGTGCCTTCCACTTTTCTAGGTGAGGCTCCTCAGCCTCCCGCTAGTGCAGCACTGTCAGTTCTTGTGCCAAGCAGCCATTCAAAATATGCTGCCCGGCGCCGAGTGTCAGCTTGAGGTAGGGTGGGCTCCATCCATATGTGCATTGCTTACTGCCAAGGCCGGCCTTAGGGGTGTGCGAACAGTGCGGCCGCACAGGGCGCCATGGCAATCTCCGGTGTTTGTAAAAAATCTGTGGACACATAGTACTATGTGTCACCAGTTATGAATGAACAGTCTGTGATTTACATCGCAGCCTGTTCATTCAAGATTTCACCAATGGGGAGAAGCACTCAGTACAGAGGCTCCTCCCCATTCAGAAACTATTGATAGTAAGTATGAATAGGAGGAGCCTCTGTACTGAGTGCTTCCCATTCATTGAGTGCTGAGGCTGCTAAAAAAGAAATTGAGGATTTGGTGTCCTCAATTTCTTTTCTATTTTAAAAGGGAAATGTCAGGGGTCTGTTTGGACCCCTAATATTTCCCAAAGCCCCCCCAACAGTAAAAAATAAATAAAAAAATTAAAAAAATGATTTTAACCACTTCCCGGCCGGCCGTTGTAAAAAAACGGCCGGCCAGGAGCTCTCTAGATCTGAGCGGGCGTCTTTAGACGTCCGCTCAGCCACGCCCCCTCGCGCGCACCGCTGGGCGCTCGCGAGCGGGAAATGCCCGTTATTTGAAAACAGGCAGCGATGCCTGTTAACATACAAGCGATCCGCCGGCTATAGAGCCGGCGGATCGCTTGTATGAGGTCCCGTGAATTGCGCCCTCCCCGGCTCCCCCCCTCCCGCTGTCAAGCTGGTCCCGGGCTCTGCTGTGCCCAGTGCGAGCCCGGGACCAGCATACGGCCTCTGTCACAGGGGATCAGAGGGAGCTCGGTACACGAGCTCCCTCCGGTCCCCTCTCCGCTGTCAGAATGCGGAAGTGGTGTATATGACATCACTTCCGCATTCTTGTGTCACTCTCCAGCTTCAGATGCTGGAGAGAAGCTGATGAAGCAGATCTGTGCTTCATCAGCTTCTTCAGGGGGGTCCTAGGTGACATAAAGAGGACCGGTCACATATTTTGCTATCACATAAGTGTGATAGCAATAAAGTTTCCCCCCCCAAAAATGTAAAGTTACAAATAAAAAAGAATTACATTTTTTTTTAAAGTCCCCCCCATACATACACGCATGCAAACAGGCGTCGGGTGCGCATACGTGTGAAAACGACGATTTCGCCCATTACGCCGCACATGTTACATATCGCCGCGAACGTATAATTGTAGGGCAATAATTGTAGGGCTATCAATCACTGATAACACTAAACTGATGAGCGGTAAAAGCTTTTAAAGCGTCACCTATGGTCAATTTTGGGCATGGTAATTTTTTGCGATTTTGCGGGTGCGCGCAATTTTAAAGCATGACATGTTTGGTGTCTATTTACCCGACGTGACCCCGTCTTTTTATATTTTACCAAAAATATGGGTGACAAATGGGTGTGGTTACTGGGGGTGTGGCCACTAAGGGTGTGGCCACTAAGGGGTGTGGTCACTGAGGGGCACTGTAAAGCTTTCTCGCACAGGGCGCCTAAAGGCCTAAGGCCGGCCCTGCTTACAGCTCCCTCGCTTGTCCTGTAGAGGTGCCTGGACTGGTGTGACGTCACATTCTGGCTCTCAGCACCTCTACAGGGTGTGCAAGGGAGCTGTATAAGTAATGCACATGTGGATGGAGCTCCATCATAGCACAGCAGCCCACACTGGACCTCAGGCTAAGGTTCCACTCCAATTCTCATAAGGTAGGGAGACTGTGTGGATCTTAAAAAAATTATGTTTTTGTTGTTTTTGGAGTGTGTGAGATTATGTCTGTGGTTGTGTGTTTTTGAGGGCCCATTCAAACTAGTACAGTGCGTTAAACGCACAGTCCCGTGCAATTAACACACTACAGATGTGCCTCGCTTACCGACTTACCTGTTTTGCAACCACTCGCACTTACGACGGACCGCCGATCGACCTCCGACCTTGCGCGTCGTGTCGCCGGCGGAAGTGGTTTCCTCCGATCTTCACTGCGGGTCCCGGTAAGTATTTTCATTGCCCGATGCACAGTACACTGTTCGGTACTGTACATCGGCAACGCTATACAGTACTGTACTAATGCAGTACAGTACTGTATAGAGTTCCTCACTTAACGACCAATCCGTTTAACGACCTGGTCGTAGGAATGGAACTCGGTCGTTAAGTGAGGAATACCTGTACTTCGCAATCGCACCTACCATGCATTTTTGTGTGAGAAGTGCATTGCATTGCCATTCATTTGAATAGCACCCCAAAAGCACCTCCCACCCACAGTTCTATTGTCCACCTCGGAACGCGCAGTACCGCAATGCCGTGCATTCCATTGCAGTGCAATTTGGGTCACGACTTAATGGCCAAGGAAAAATGTGGGTCCTGAGGTTACACAGGTTGAGAACCACTGCTTTAGACAACCCCGCAAGATCCAGGGCACTTTGAAGTATGGGCTTGGGGACGCCTCATTGGCACCTTAGGCCTATGTAGCCTATTGGCAAATCTGGTCCTGTTGGTGAGACTTCTGCTTGTTAAGAATATGTTAATACTTGAATATCCATAGCCTGAACCCAGGTTCACTGTAAATGATAAATGATAGTGTCACAGGTCTCTTTGTATTCTAGCAACATCCCTAATACTAAGTTCAGGCTATTTAGGTTATTAATATTTAAATTATAACTTAGAGGTGTAAAGGACATGTTTACCAATCATAAATGTTTTTCTGTAATTGGGATGAGCAGGATGAATAGCAAAATTACCAAGCTTTAATATTATGCACATATATTATACATTATTCTATATTGTGATAATATAATTATTTGCATGTTTATAAATAGTGTATCAAAACTTTAAATGTTTTCTATATTTTATGTAGACATATTTTTGCTGATTTACTAAAGCAGTTAGGAATCATCACACAACAAATTGTGAATATTAATTTAAATAATGCAGTCATGCACAGATTAAATAAGTAAACAGGCATTGTCTTTCACATGATTGAGTAATTGTAGTAAATATTCACACAATTTATCATGTGAAGATTTTCAACTCCTTTAGTAAATCAGACTTATTTTTTTTTGCTTTTCTTTCTACTTAGTTTGAAGGAGAAATAAAGGTTTTGACTCGTATGATGGTAGTCCCGAGTGCTGGAAACAAGAGAGGTGGAGGAAAAGATCTACCAATCAGTAAAGGAGAAATCTTTGAAGTGATTCAGTTCACCAATCAAGAAAAAATACTGTGCAGAAATAGTAAAGGCAAATGTATGTCTATTTTTAGTTTCACTATTTTTCTATATGCATTAAATTGCTATAGACTGAATATCTACAGTGTGTGTGTGTGTGTATATATATATAGATATATATATATATAGATATATATATATATAGATATATATATATATAGATATATATATATATAGATATATATATATATAGATATATATATATATAGATATATATATATATAGATATATATATATATAGATATATATATATATAGATATATATATATATAGATATATATATATATAGATATATATATATATAGATATACAATGTTGGAGGATTAGCTCCAAACGGTAGCACATTAAGGAGACCTCCACTCGCTTTTTACTTTTTAAAGGGCTTCTTTGCCCACTTTTATTTATTTACAAATTTAAAGAAACGTCCACACAGGTGTTCCCTCCCAGGGGTTTTCAAACACAAAGTACAGTTTTCTTAAATAATAAAAAAAAAAATTTTCCTGTCTCACCGACTTCAGGTAGGTCCTTTAACAAAAACGTCTGGCCACACAGGCTGTATTCAAAACGCTAGCCACACAGGCTTGTCCCTTGTCCTCTTGCCACACAGGAGGACTGCTACACAGGCTGATTGCCACACAGGCTGTTCTTTTGCCACAAAGGCGGATTGCCACACAGGCTGCTCTTTTGCCACAAAGGCGGATTGCCACACAGGCTGCTCTTTTGCCACACATGCTGGTCTGCTCCCCAGTTCCCCAGACACATAGTCTGGTTCTAGTGTGGGGCTGTTCTTTTAGGAGGCTGTAGAGGCCCTAACAAGCCAGCTAGCCTCAGCTGGGCTTGTTACCTCCAAACCTCCAGCCCTCTCAGCACTTCCCCTAGAGGAATAACTTAATTAATACAATTGAACACCGACATCCCCATCTGCCTGCTGCCA